ATTTAATTAACATTAATGCTAATCATATTTATATAGATATATATAGTAGTTATATAATAACGTATATACAAGATATGATATGAGCATAAGCATCCATAAGCAGCCGTTAGGCACGCACTCCCACACCCCCACACACACACGTACATGTAATAAAATAATCATAAATATATAATGATGATTTACCCAGGCAGAAGCCTGGCTGAGTAGATTTGCTGCTGCCATGCAAATACGCATGCTTTAAGTGCACGAACAGCATTTTAGCCTGGCTAAATTGTAATGAAGCAAGCGCAGCTACGCCCACACTAGCGCCCAACCTCCACACACACACACACATACACTGGGAGAGAGAGATATGCAAAAGATAGCGTCGAGCTGAGAGCAAATAAATTGCTATACAATTTTACCCAAAAGTCGCATACAAAAACCAAACAGCACGCCAGAGGGTAGTCAGAGGAGGGGCCGGTAGTTGAGGGGGTGTGCCATGTATGGCTACGCCTGCAGCACAGTTACGTTAGCTGCAGGGGTTGCGGTGTTTGAATGTGTCTGCTGGCGGGTAGGGGCTGCAAACAGACTGTCGTCATGTCAAGCAATTCAATTCAATTTGGTTTCTCACGCGTTTGTTTGCCAGCTCATGGATACGTCTTCCCCTGAAGCCCCGCTCGCCTACGTCATGACTGCCTTGATTTCTATATGTGTGTGGGTGTCGCTCTGTGTGTGCGTGTGTGTGTGAGTCTGTGTTTATTTTTATTTAATTCATTGGCCTTAAAAGTTTGTAGCTAGACCATTTTTTATGGTGGCTGTAAATAACAATTTACGATTTACAATTTACAATTTTTTTACAATTTTACAATTTACAACTTGGCAACGATTTACAGTGGCTGCTGCAGAAGTTCACACAACTCGCATACATAACAATTTGCAGGCGCATTAAAAAGTTGCCAGATTAATATTTAAACGGGCGAAAACTTATGCACACATATGGCAGCACGAACACACACACACACACAGAAATACGCACAGCGAAAATTAAGCATAAAAGTATGCAACACAAAACTGCACGCAAGAGAGTCAAACCGATACACACATACGTACACACACGCACACACACGCACTGTCAATTCGTTTCATTTTCCACTCATTCCAAAAAAACTTGACACTTTTACTTACTTGCGTAGTCATCTTACATCTCGGGCTGCAGTCGCTGGCTGTCGCTGAGCCGTTTTGGTTGTGGGCTGCCCGTCGACGCGTTTTGAAAATTTTCGCCGCCTGCTGGTTAACGGCTTTAAGTGGCGACATGTACTGTCCATACGTCATCAACATCGACGTCAACTTTAAATAGCGGGACCAGCCGCACAGAATGCCGACGGCTGTTGCTCGCTTCTGCTGTTCCTTCACACATTCTCTCCTTCTCTCTCTCTATCTCTTTCTAGCTCGTATTGATTGCTTGTCGGCGGCACACACAGTCACACTCACATACTCTGACACGCATAAGTAACTGCTAACACAATTTGTAGTCTATGGGTTAACTGTATAACTGTATAACTGTTTAAGCTTACAGCCTTTGTCGCCGCCATTTGCCGCGCCAAACAACTGGACACGAGCGAGGTCTGCAGCCAAATGAATCTGAAATAATGAAACTGAGTGAATTTCGCTCGAAAGATGCTGCGAATACGAACGACACGACACGACTGGACACGAACCAAAAACACGACAAAGCTATCCAAAAGCTTCGTCGTTTGCAGGAGAGAGCTCGTACGAATGGCTTGCGCAAGTCGTGGGGAAATGGGAATGGCCAAAGAGCATCGTCAGTTCGAGAGGGGCAATGTAAACAAGAAAATTGGGATGCTGTGGCTTTTAATTAGCCACCGCTTGCATATTTCAGCAGCTAAGAGAGTGTGCACTAAGAGAACGTCAGCGAGAGAGAGAGAGAGAGAGAGCGTGTGACAGAGAGAAACGGAGCGTAAGCTTTGCTCAAGAGCGCCCAACTGTGTGGGTGAGTGTAATAACAAATGCTGCTGATAAGGCTACTGACCTCTGTGCCTGTGTGTGCAGTGGCGTCGTTTGCGCAAGGGGTTGCTGCTACTGCTGCTGCTGCTGCTACTACTGGCCTGCCTGCTGGCTTAGCCTGCCACAAAAAGAAACAGAGACACTCACAAATCAGGTTGGCAGCTCCGCTGGCATAACTAAAAGCCAATTAAATGCTTTCGAGTGTTTTCTAAACAAGTTGAATTTACACAAATTTCAAATTTACCGCAACTTGCGCTGCTTTTAATTAAATTAATGCATTGCCTACAATCTCTGTCCAACTCGCCACCCCCACTGTCAGCTGGTAGTGCTGCCCACTTAATTGTTGGCATTTTTCTTCTGCTGTCTGGACAAACAGCTGTGCCATCAAGCGCATAGATTACACAACAAACAAAAGCCGCTCAGAGACAAAAGGCAGCAAGGAGCGCACCAAGGACTCTAGCATCACCGCAGACCCTTGTCCGACTCGGCCAGTGAAATCCGAGCAGCTTTAATTTGGCCACGTCAAACGATGAATGAAGGCAAATTTGTCCAGCAGCAGCAACAACTACCAACAGCTTTGAACAGCCTACATTTAGGCGCACATATTAATCAAAAACAAAAAAAAAAACAAAACAAAAAAGAAGAAGACCAGAAACACAAATAATAATAAAGAGTAGGCAAAAGTAAGGAAAAAGCAACTCAAAGTTGACTTTCGGACCTCGTTTGGCTCTCGGAAGCACATACTAATTGCCGTCTGGCCCTGATGGCCCAATGTGTTGCTAATATTGCGTGCCATGAAAAGTGTTGTGTGCTTAAGCGAAAGATGAGCTCAAGTTGAAGAAATTGAGGCGAAAGCGAAAGCGGGAACAGAGCTATGATGTAAGTTAATGATGCTTATATGTTATAGCTTGAAGGAGCTTGAAGCTATTTGCGTATTGATGGCAATAGATGTGCTCTACTCGAAAAGAGGTAAATGAATGGCTATGAAAACTTGAAGTGATTGAAGAGAAAGGACTTAGCCGAATGCTTTTCAAAAGCAGATTTGTAGTATAGTGTAAATAGAAAAGTTAATTGGAAAGTTGACGGAATCACAGCGTAATTGATATCGGGAACAGCTTGAGCTCTCTGTTTCATGTTGACGCTACTACTAAACAGCTTGTTGTCTATTAAAAGCATTAAATTCTTTTACGCAATTTATAAGATGCTCAAGTGCTGTTTATCTAAACAAGGCTGAGGTTTGAGACTAAGGACGATAGCAAGGGAAACTAGTAAATGAATTAAGGTAAGTCTTTAGCTTGTCTAAGGCATATATTAATCAAATTATCAACACTTAACTTAAGCCGATTTTGAGCATTAGACTAAAGACTTAAGCTAATAAAAACTTTCGGACTGAAACGGAAATAGTTGTTTATCAAGAAAGTTAGCCAGAAACGAGGCAATGAAGAATGCAGAAGTAAAAGTAAAACTGTGTTAAGAGCACATCAAATGTTGCGCAAGAAAGAACAATAATTCAGACGCATAATTTAATCAATTACCAAGCAGAAAAAAGAGTATATATACATATATATATTTTTGTAGCTGTTTTCCTGCCAAAAAGAAGCAGAAGAAGAAGACGAAAATGAAGCGCAAGTTCAATCTCAGTTCGACAGCATCAAGTTTCGCACAGTTTCTCAGCTTTACAGTGCACGTAGTTTATGTTTTTCGCTCGCTTTCCCTCGCTTTCATATGCGACACACATACACACACACACACACACATATATACACTGATGGAAATAGAGCTTCGAATGATTAATGACCATTTTGCGTAACGTTTTTCCATTGTTGTTGTTGTTGTTGATGATGGGAACTTGGCTTGTCAACAGAGCGTCGCACAGTTGTCGATGGCAGAGCGCAACGTAGATGAGAAATCGGAAGAGAAACCAGAAGAAGCTAAAGGGGAAGAAGAGAAGAAGAAAAGGTAGTCGTAGAGGTAGAGCACAAAGTAAAACTAAGTAAAAGCCAAAAGTTTGCCTGCAAATGAAATTTGATTTCAACGCCAAGGGCTGAGCAACAACTCGAGTTACACGAATTCCTGCATCCTTCAGCCATCCTAGAACCTGGCCGACAGCAGGCGCCGCAAGTTGATTGACTAACGTTCGCATTGGCAACTCATCAGCAGCCAGGCTGCACAAAGAGCATGCGACAACAGGCAGCGCAATTTCCCTCACGGATTATCCAGTGTGGAAAAATGAATCGACAGGAAAAAAAATGGAAAACGAAGAAATAAAGGAAAAATTGCTGAAACTGCAAAAAATTGACTGGGAAAGTGTTGATGATGTTTGATACTGATTGCTTTAGCAGATCTCTATGATAAGGCGGACGCTGATGCTGATGCTGTGCAACACTGCAGCTATTTGCGACGCTTAGCAACACTGCCACAGGAAAAAGTCACAGGTTAGTCGAGCCAACTTTGTTGTGGCATTTCTGATGTGGTCTGCCCACACGCTTTCTCTCCCTCTCCCCGTCTCTTTTTGAGTGTAAAGTGGCTTGATCCTTTCTAGTCCTGGGGTCCTTTACATTTAACGAGCCGTCGCAGCGGCCAAATGACAAATGAAAAATGAAAATGCTTTTCAGGCATATTAAAAAGGATTTGCCGTACGCCAGATAAATGTGCCTAGGCACAACGCATTACTTAAATTAATTTTCACACTGCAGAGGTCGGCCAGGGGGGGGGAGGGTAGGGAAAAGGGACAACTGCTAGACGAGCCTCGGCAACTTTTTAAATATTTAAATGAGCCGAGCAGAAATACAAAAGAAGAAAACAAATAAATGGCCAACACGTCGAACGTCGACGCATTAAACATGCGCAAATATTTGCGCTGAGCTGTGCCAAAAAGGATATGCAGTACACCTGGCGCAACAAGGATAACGCGCAAATTATGTCAAAAGCTGTGCAAATATAAACAAAACAAAAGCAACTGTGTAGAACGACAAACGAACACCGAAACTTACCTAGTTACTTCTATTATTTTCGCTTTCTGCTTCTTCTTTTTTATTTTAATTAGCAAGGACCTCGACGCTAGCCAGTTGCGCATGTACATGGAAAAGGATAACATATTTGCGATTAGCTTTGGACAACGTTTCTGAGTGTCTGTGTGCAGAGGTGTATATGTGTGTGTGTGTGTGTGTGGGTGTGTTTGTTTTAAAGTGTGCCAAATAAGTTGCGCCTGGCTGCGCTTTAAAGTGGCCATAGAAAGCGAGTGGGTGAGTGGGGAGGGCAGCTTGTAGGCGTGGCTGCGCTGTCGTTGACAAAAATCTTTTGTGGTTGCCTCTAATTAAAAAGCGACCGAGAGAGAGAGAGGCAGATCGCGGGCGTGAGCTGCAGCAGGCGCAGCAGTCTTTGCCTTGGCCCAATGAAGCGTGCAAAGGAAAAAAAACTATTGCATACTTTTGCGCGCAGCGCATATTTTGCCACGGCATAATTAATTAAAAATATCTGACATGCAATAATAAATTTTCGCCCAGTCCAAGCGTGTGTGTGTGTGTGTGTGAGTCTACCTTGCAACCAATCTGTGCCGCTCTCTCACTTAGTCTCTCCAATGCTTCTAGTTCGTGTTAAATGCCCCAAAGTGCAAAAGTTTTAAATAAATGAATTTTGTATGTCTGTGTGTGTGTGTGTGTGTGAAAGCCAAGGCAAAAACATAACTGACATCATTAGCAAACTTTAATACACTTTGCGCCCAGCGGCAGCCACTCAGGCAAAAATAAATAAACCAAACGAAATGAAACCAAACGAACTAAAACCAAATGAAATGAAATAAAATGAAAATTTTGTGTTTACACAATATACAATACAACAATATATATATATATAAATATATATATATGTGGGGTTCTTTCAAAATGCAACGTTTAAAGCATTGTTAGATGTTTGCCATGCAGCAAACTTTTGACTAAACAGCATTTTGCAACACTGTTCATACACAAGTTTAAGTTGATATTAATAAAGTTTGGGAAATTCTATTAAAATTAAGTTCGTATTTTTGCTGATTTTGATATGTGACATATTTAAGCATTTGACAACACTAATTTAACTAAGTTCAACTGACTTGACCAGCAAAGTAATCAAATTGTAGCTACTATAACTACAAATAACTTGTAAGTAGTTCCATTTAGTTTTCTAGCATTCATTTTAAGACACTTTACAACACTAATTTAGGAGCATTCTCAACTTGGCTTCACATATAAAGCGATCTACAACATTTTCTCAAACTTCTAGCTTAGTTACTTTGAAATTTCTCATGCCACACTCAGCATAATTTCTAAGCAAGTATTTTTAAGGACATTAACCAACACTAATTTTTGCTTCCCTCAAATTAGCTGCTTAGCTAGCAAATACTTTTATTATAATTTTAATTTGCATTTACCAACACTTAGATTTTTATTAGCTTTATAACACTGTCCACCCACTTAATGAGCCACCCGCAGCTAGTCTCTTTTTTAACTGTATTAATTTTAATATATTTTTTTATGTGCGAAAAATTGATGTAGAAAACAATTTAAACTTTGCACATTTGTTTCAAATATGCATTCAACGATGCGCCCAACTCAAAACTGGGCTTATGCAAAAGCAAAGCCAGAGCATTGGCCAAGTGGCTTAGATTTGGTTGCCACAGCCAGTGATAGAGATAAAGAGAGAGTGAGAGGGAGGGAGAGCGAGCGAGCCACAAACAAGTCGAGTTCGAGTTCGAGTTCGAGTCGAGTCCATGACAAAGTTTTGCGCCAGTTGAAGGTGGCAAGAACTATGTGGGATTAGACAATTTGTATGCCAAGCGCTGTGGGTCGCGGCATGTGGTTGTGCGGTTATAACTCCAAGCGAACCACCACCATTACAACCAAGAGCCAGCCAACCAACCAACAGCACCACCGTCCGCATTAAGCCACAACTGATGTTTACATTTTTAACTAAGGCAAGGCAAGGCAAGGCAAAAGTTTGTCCTGACGCAGAGACAAGGTCCTGTGCCTGTGCCTGCGCCTTTGCCATTGCCTTTTTCACGTTTCGGCATAAAATTTAATGCATATAATATTGGCTAATGATGTTTACAATGCGCGCGGGCTTAGGCGGGCATTAAAATTGTCGAGCCAGTGCCAGTTGGGCCACCTGCTGCTGTGCGCCCACAATTTTCTACCTCAGCCACAAAACTCACAGACTTATTTCTCGATTTTCCTGGCTGCTGCTGCTGCTGCTGCTGCTGCTGCTGATGTAACCAAGTTAGCAATTAAGACAACTGTGTACTCAATATGCCAGCCCAGTTGTTAGTTAATTGAAAGCGACGACCAGCCAAGGGCAAACAATTTATTAAGCACTGCTCTGTAGCATTAGATTGTCGAGCAGTGTTGCATAATTGTGTGGCATGTTTAGTTTTGACACCTAATCACAGCGGAGACTCATAAATTTTGAGACTAATACGAAATGTGTGTTGCACAACGTTGTTTAGTGTTGGGCAATGGCTTATTTTTGTCTAGCTCGGGCAAAGGTACATAGCATATGCATTGGTCTACGCCAGTGTTGGCTAACGTACTGCAAAGCGGCGTAGGCTTGTCTGTTGGAGTTAAGTTAGTAGAAACTTTAAAACTTAGCTAACAAAAGTGCCGTTAACATGATTTTTAACCACTTGTAGTGTTGGCAAACGCGTAAATTAGCTTTTTGCGGTGCGCAGCATTGTTGCGGCGCTGCACTGGGCAAACAAGCCAAACAATTTCAAACTCATTAAAAATTGATTGACACGCATACACACACGCAGAGAGAAAGAGAGAGAGAGAGAGGGGAAGAGTGAGTGAGAGAGTTATTTGAGTTGCAGTTACACCTAGGCAATGAAATCTGTTGTGGGCGAAATTCTAATTGGATATTTTATGGCCAACACTTTTGACGACTCGGCAACAAAACTGTGTGTCCCAGTGGGAGCAATTCCGCTGCATGTTTGATGACATTCCAGGTTGATTTTGTAACAACAGCAACAGCAACAGCAACAATAACAAACAACGGCTCACATATGTCAACATCAACATGGTAACTCCCTTCGAAAAGGACAACGGCACATAATTAAATGACACCAAGGACCTTTCTGCTGCACAACCCCATCAACAGCCCACACACACGCACATGGCTGATGAGTTGTTGCCAGCTAATGAGCCTGAATGGATACTCGACGTGTGCGCGAGCGTGTGTATGTGTGTGTGCTTAACTGGGTTAATGTGCAACAACAATGGCCAAGCAGAATTTCATAAATACATAAATACACAATGTCCTTGATATATCCTGCTATTTTGTCAACATTTTGTTAGCTTGGCGCACTCGCTCACAAATTGCAATTAATAAACCAATCAGCTGCGCTGAAGAATTTGCCACTGATGAGGCACCAATTTTGATTTCCCAGACAACATCTGGCTGACCCTAATGACAGGAAATTGTGCGGTCACAGAACTCGACCAGATGCAATTGCAGCCGCAAAAACAAATCATGATAACCACAAAAGCCATCAAGCAATCCCACACACACTCATGGAGAGACAGACAGAGAGAGAGAGCGAGAGAGTGCGAGCGAGCCTACATTTTCCGTTTAATTTGGCCAAAAATCACAAGCTGTTGGCTACACAATTTGCATAATTGAATATTAAAATAAAGTGCAATAAACAAAACTCTGTGCTTGTAACTTCAGCTAACGGTAGTTTTGTGCCTAAATCAAATAGATTCTAAAGCATTCTTAGATTTGAGTTGGCAGTTCAATTAAATGAAATATAAAATCATAAGGAAAATGCTTACAAAAGCCAATTAACTTGGTCTAACTATATTGAATTATATAATTGACTTTTTGTTCGACATTTCCCAACACTGATTCTAAAATAATAGTTTGAAGAGAATTTGTTTGCAATAAACAACTTAAGCTATCAAATGTAACAGATTTATGGCTAGTTATTGCCAACTTTGAGCTCAGTTGGCAACACAGCAAGCATTTCTCTTCAGGTTCTGCTTGTTGTGCAACACTAGAAGTAAAAGTTTAATGGAAAAAATTTCCAGAGTGCATAGTTTTTAAATTTTAGCAGCTAATAAACTCTGTTTATATTTAGTTCTTTAATATATTCAATTTTTATTAAGTTTTTATGCCATTTGGCATGCAATTTTGTATATTTTCCAACACTATGATACATTAAGAGCTGACATAAATAGGTCTAAATGCAATGTGTAGCTACTTCAAAGCTCATTTGTTAAGCAAAAGGCAGTACTAACTCATATTATGCATGTTTTCAACAGTAAAATGCATTTTTTAACACTTTACAACACTACTTCAACAGTTTACTGAAATATTATTATATTATATTAGCATGAATTATCAGTCAAAGCTTTTTATCATTTATTTTATAGAGCCTTTCTTTATATTACTTAAAATTTATAATAAATTTCATAAATTTCTACCATTTAACAACACTGGCCATAAAAACTTTTTAGTCATCTGCTAAAATTGAACATTATTTTATGCATTAAACAAATAAAAAACGCTTTTAAATCCAAAATGTCAAGCCCATGATCAATGCACAAAGCTCAACAACGCTCTTCCAGCTTTATCCCTCCCTATTTTTTTCTCTTTCAGTCACTCACTCTGGCCACAACTCGTCAAGATTAATCTGATTCCCAAGTGGCACTTGCAGCCAGTGTCATTTGGGTGCTTTATCGAATGTGCAGCAATTAATGCGTGCTTCAAGTGAAAGAGATTCATCTCACAAGTGAAGCCATGTTGAAGCCAGACAATTGCAACATCCATCTTCTGCAGGCATTTGTCTCTTTCACGCACACACACACACACGACAAGGACATAGGATATGGGTAGCTGTGTGTATGGGAGATGGACACGGTCAGGACATGGACATGCACATGGCGGTTGGCCTTTTGTCACTGCGTGCAAGACAACAAACACATTTACTAAATTAAAATTGAATTTATAGCGCACTAAATGCAGCGCCTGCATATATATCCTGCGCACAAATTGCCCTCTGTGTGTGTCCTGGCTGGCAGGCACGCCCCCTTGGCCCT